ACCGAAGGTCTTCGGTAATGGGGCCTATGTTACTACGTTATCAACAGCACTGGGGATCTTTCGTAGTCATCTGGGACCTCGGCGGGCGATAACTTCACCATCTGCGACGATGACCTGCCATGCCAGCTCTTCTCTTGCTAGACCCGACATTCTTATTATTAAAAGATGGATCCTGAGGAAGAGGAACGTATCTAATGTCGTGAATTACAAGGAGTTATAATTGACTATATTACAATGAGACTAGACGCAGTAACCTGTCCTACATAGTTGTAAACTCGAATAGGACATAAATGGATAAAAAATAATAAAAATAGACGCAGTAATGAAAGAACGCCTGCACGCTAAGACACATGCACGTGATGCACAATTACAACAATTCTGCCATTCGCTCTCTGGTTTCTTGCCGGCATTTCCGGGCGTCGATATCTTCCTGGATCCTGATTTCCGTTTAATACCGCTTTAGCTTTTGCGGCGATCCTAACAGGGCAGCTCGGGTACCATGACTCATGATTTCTGCTGCAATTGCAGCACCTTGTCCCATGATTTTCTCCACATTCTCTTGTGATGTATGCCTTTGCACACTGGCCGCACTTGGCTTCAGCGGTGCAAACCTTAGCAATGTGTCCATACCTCTGGCAGTTGAAGCATTGCATAGTACGGAAGCCGGATCTGAAGATCTCTGTAGATTATATCTCGTAGCGCCACTTAATTCCTTTTGCGATCGCTTTGTGTGCAGAACCTGACGATTTTCCTCCTTGAGAAGATTTTTTCAGCCATGTTGCCCTTTGTTACTTTATGCTCTGGAGGTAAACAGCATTTTCTTGTTGAAGCAGCTTCAGATGTTCAATATTCCGTTGCTCAAATGAGAGCGGCACATCGTGTGCCAAAACTTGGTACATAGGGCTGGCTACTTGTGCTGTAGCTGCAAGCTTGGTTGTCCGTCCCTTTTGTCTTTCAATCTTCTCCTTCGATTCTTGACCTACAATTATTTGATTTTATTATCCTGATTTGGCGCCTTGGGCCCGTGCGTATTTTGTGGGAAGATATATACTTGAAGCGGGGTGACTCAATTTGACGTTATAAACACTCACACTTATATTTCATTTGCAGGTACCACTCGAGGTAAACTCTTAGGGCGCATGACCTCTTCCGTGCGTACCAATCTCAGGGAAAAGTGTGAAAAAGCTAGTGTTATCCGAAAGCGATTTCATCATCCCACAAGCACAATCTCACCGCGTGAGAGAATGGTGAAGAGATTTTACTGGATTTAAATCAGCTTTCTCCTACCCCAAATGGGGTAGGTGTTCAGGCCGCCCAAACCTACTTGGGTGATCGAACCGGATGGTGTACCACTGCGCCATCCAACCTTCCTCCTTTTCCAAGGTTGTAGATTCTAGCTAATCGATTGAATCCTCTTTACGACAGTTGTTCGCAGTCGCAATGCTAGGTTTGAGTGTAGACTGAACGAGCAAAATTCGAGGTTAATCGAGAAGACATTGTCGGCACACGAACAAAGCACTGCGGTTTGACTCGATTTCGCAAAGGTCTCACAGGAAACCATAACATCAAAGAGATGAGATTACTATGTCTCATTCAAACGTATGTGTAATGTAAATAGGGTTTGTAGTCACTAGCAAGGGATGGTAGGGCGACAAATCAGGAAAACATAACAAAATTGAGTGTAGTCTGGTACTCGTCAACTGGCAACCATTGTCTTCGCGTCTCTACATCATCCTCAAACTTTGTGAGTTGTTGATTACCTATTGGTGTCCATAGTAATTTGCGCATTTCCAAAATTATAGAGAGTTTCGAATATTGTACCACAACTTTCGAGTTCCGCCTGACTCAATTTTGTCCTGGGATAGCCCCAAGTCGTACCCTCACTGCGATTCAGGGGTCATTAGTTGATGGGGATCGGGATAAGGGAATGTCCATTTAATAGGATTGGTATTAAGCAGGGCAACGAATCATGTACTAGTGACGAGTTAACACGCAGAAGAGAGTGTAGAGCTTGTTTCAGTATCATGTAGTATCGAGTATTGTGGGTTGATCTACTTGCGGCTCCAAGTTGATGCTCAGACCGATGAACAGGGGACCTATTTATCCTGTGGTGCGGTAAACCAATTTCAAGAGAGGCATAGAGTAAATACCCGCTTCGGCCCCTGGTGCCAATGCTTAAAGACATTTAGGTAGTGAATGACATCTACTTTATGCCGTCCCGCGCAGGTCTCTTTGTCTATTCTTGGTGGAAACACACTTCCATGAGCTGATCAGAGAGCATATTCTGATGCAAGCTGTTACAGCGCAAAACCACTATCATATCTGGTGTATCTCACCTCCAGCCCCCTCCTCAAATTCCCAAGTGACTATGAGCCGCAACCTTCTTTCCGCACTCGATATTGAAGATAAGGTTTTTAGGACGCCCGTGTCAATCAGTCTGAATTGCAGGCTTCAGTTGACTGGAATGCCTGCAGTCACACTCGATCAACTAAAGCCTGTCACACTTTCAGCTGTATAGCCTCTAACAGTTCTTCGTATGTGTGTGTCTGTTGATTGTAATACTTGAGTTTATGACTATCTCGCACATTGGGCTCCTCTCTGGCTCAGGCCACACCTTGTACAGTGCCCCTTGCCTCTCATGTTCCTTGAGAGATCACTGATATATTCCCCTTGATGAATGTACATTTAGCTCAGTGTTTACCCGTGAAATTCGTCCACCTTTTCCACGGAAACTTCCACCAAAAAAAATGGTAGCAATGGAAACTGCGTGCGCGGGAAAAAGTCGCAAAACACCTGCATCCCCAGCCAGGCGAGGCCTAGACGCCGGGACCACATGAGGTGTGCATATTCATCTGTATCTCCCTTCTTTGTAACATTCAAGGCCGACTTGATCCAATCTGCCATCTCCGTATCGGGTGCTGGGTACGCTCCAGAAACTCATCCGATGGCATCTCCTCCATGATCAAGGGTTGGTGATGACTAGGGCTCCGACCCTACCATCTGATCTGATCGTGGTTAGCTTCATGATAATGGTGATAGGGAGATTTGTTGAGACATGAAGACGATACAGACGGCGAAAGCGATTGGAAATCTTCGTCGAAGTGAGGACTTTGTTACTCAATCTCGGCTCTGCAGACTCTACAATGAGAGCTGGAGGTTCATAGGGGACACCACTTACAGTTGTTGAGAATTGTCCCCCAGCAGTTCTTCGTGAAAAACATGCTGGCGCCTTATCAAGGCATCGTGATTAGACCCCGAAAAATTAGTAACTTGGTGTTCACCTACAGAATAGAACAGGTGCGACGAGCTGTCAATCTAGGTGAGGCGGAAGTTGTCGAAACTTGTGCTCAATTCTTATTTTTTCCATTTGTTGTTAGTTTAATAATTTGGTAGTGATACACGACCAACCTATTGAACACAAGTAACATGAATCGTCGAAGTTCAGGTACTCTCACATTCGTTTATGAGAGATAATGACGATTAAGCATTCTATTTTGGGCTGCAGGTGCAGCTGTGAGACAGAGTGCTTAAAAACTATATGCCTTCTCACTACCAAGAATTGAAGACAATTGCTCAGATGCGTTGTTTGTATGAAAAATATAAGGTTTGCCCGGGCGGAAATCCTCTACTTTCCTGATTCCAGGGGTCGTCAAATAAAGAGGAATCCCTAAATGTCTATTAAATATAAATGAGGAAATCATACTTGGCCCTGTGTTACTCACGCGAAGGTCAGGTTTGCTAGAAACCCTATCAGGAAAAATAATCGCCACCGGACTGTAGATCTGTTTGGTTGCCAGCTGAAAGGTCTCGCCGGACTTTAAAAATCATATTTGCTGGTCAACTCGGTACCATCCGGACAAGCGATACGAACAATTCATGTTAGGGCTATCTGTCGCTCAATAGATGCAGTGTCCGCAACCCCGGAACCTTCAACTGTCTTGATAAGCGCACAGCCCCTTAACGTCATGCCTTGTCGCAGCTTGTTACCTAGTCAATCCAGCGACGCCTGGCCCTCTTGTCCAAACCTGGATTAGCCGTCCGTTCTTTTGTTTCTGGGTTGGCGACACGGGTCTGCCTTGAAGGAAATGGATGAACCCCTTGAATTCGTCCCAACAACACCTTCCCAGCCCGCAAGTAATCGCCGAGTGCTGTTTCTGTGGCTATCAAGAAGCAGAGCCTTTAGCCACTGACTGGGTATGGGTCGATCGGGCAGATGGGGACTACACATAGCCAAAGTTCGACTTTGCTGGGCAAAATCGTCATAGTGGAGAGTGAGACCCTCTCGCACCAACTTTGAGCGTCTTGCGCCTTGAGGAAATGTCCCGCGACAAGTTCTGCAGCAATTATTTACCAAATAGCGCCAGCTTCTACAATAAACCTTATCGAATATGAAAGCCTTGACAGAAGTGTCTCAAATCGTGGAGACTTCACTGCTCCATAATCGATATTGGGTGACGGGTCCAAGACAGAAGGGCGTGATCAGGTCCATCTAACGGCTCCCTCCCTCCGGCGCCCCGAGAAAGGTTTGATGTGCGACGGTCAAATTCATCTCTAACTAGCAGAATTCCTACCATCATGTGGTATAATTATGATGGCATAGCGCCCGGGTTGATTTTGTATTTGCTGCTCTGCTAGATGGGTCATCTCGACGATGTTTTCGGTTCAAATAATCTTGCGTGGTGACGCGAGCAGTAGAGCCAATACTCAACATGCGGCCCACTCCTAGATCGGGGTTCCGCAAAAGAGTCTTGAGTCCTGGTCAGGTTGCTCATGCCAAGAGTCAGAGGACAACTGTCACAATACAGACGCCCCTCATTCTGTTAACCTCGCCCCCCAGTTTGGATCTGCTTACAAACCCTTCCTCCGGCTAAGCACAAAATTCTCTCCTACCTCCCTTTCAACCCCTACCCACATACCTATGATCATCACGTCCAGCCCACCTAGGCAAATTCTTATACATTCTTCATGCCTTCGACTTAAATGATCGAAAACATCTCATAATGTATCTAGCAGCGCTTTCGCGGTATTTGTGCGCTCTCACGCTTTGTCTATACTTTGCCCGAGCAAACTGGATTGAAATCAACAACATTTTCGCGCGTCAGCTACCAGACGAACAGGTGGAAGAAAAACAGATAGACAAGGTCATAGCGGCGGTATCTTCTCCAACGACTTCCTCAGTCCCGTTAAGCACTGGGGCAGCAACTCCCGCCACGACAACCACCTCAGATCCCCCATCGACTGCAGATTCGAAAACTACCACTGCCAATCCAAACCAAAAATCGACTTCTATATCCACCCAACGTCCTAATCCTACAACATCATCCGTCACCAATCCAAACCCCAGTCCCACATCAGTTACCAGTCAAGAACCACCTGCTAATACAGATAACACCGATACTTCTACGACAATTCTTCCGGCTTCATCAGTTTCACAGAGCGTCGAGCTAGTGACAACTATTGTAACTGTATCTGGAAGTGCTGTAACTTCCGTGTCTGAATCAACAGCTGCTACAACCGTACCTGCCTCCGGGCCCACTGGTACATCGTCTCCCAAGGACGGCAGTGCAGATAAATCAGGCTCGAAATCTAAAAACACGATAATTGGAGTGTCAGTCGGAATTGGTGGAACAATATTACTCGTTACAATGGCAGCCCTTGGCTGGAGGATATGGGGGCGCAAAAGAAGATCAGAACAAGTTAGTGGTCTAGATTTTCGCACAATAAGTCCTGGGCAAGAAAAGCCGGGTGGTATAAACAATATGAGACCAACAAATCCATTCCAAAGTACACTCGAAACCTATCACAACCCCACCAGGGTAAATGCGTCGTCGAATTTCTGAGACCTTTTACATAAATTTTCACGGAGTTTATGGAGTACCGTAGCAAATCCATGGGAGGAATTTACCCATGAGACAAATGCAGGTGTTAGCTAAGTAATAGGGTCATGTTACGACTGGTGTTAAAGGTACCAGCTTTTAAATTACCCACATCCAAAATAAAATTATAACCACATGGCGATTTCAGCTTCGTCTCATAATACAGCAGTATCATAACCCTCGATATTTCTGTGTTTGTCAGGTCACACATCATGAGCACCTATATTACACATATACTTTAAAGTATGCTTCTGTGCCGGCCGCGTGATACCAATCACAATCTGAAGCTAATTACCAGCGTACTCTCACGTTTTCACTTCAAAAGAGGCCATGGGGATCAAAAGTTTTCGCTGCATGAATTGGCACACTTTCTACGATTGTATGCGTCGAGCCTACTCTTCTTGGAAAATATCTGTACATATAATAAATACCTCTTATCTCGATTGCTGCTCTCCTTTATCAAATTTTTACCTGGGCACATCTTTGAGTTCTGATATTGCCCTAGAGTATTCATAACCAGATTTTTTCTGGCATAACTCCAAGATTTAGGGAGAATATAGCGACAACTTAGAAATAAAAGAATGGTGGCTCGAGTAAATCCCGCTAGAAATAAAATCGCGTGTATGAGATCTCTCACTCGATACCCAAGGATTAATACCTCGTAAGCTATCATTGCCATCTGACCGAATCGCCTCTACTTGCATTGCTTTCTCCCTTTCCTTGCCACTATCAGCTTTTTTGGACGGTCAAAAAATGCGCAAGGACCGTCGCAACATATCCCTATACCTTTTTCTGTCTTATATTAGACAAGAAACTCACTGTGAACTTTTACGCCTATTGTTTTACTAACATCTTAGATTTGAGTAAACTTCATTAAAAATATATAGAAACAACTTTTGGTGTTGAAATTCTCACCTGCAAAGTAGATGAGGCTCTGCTACGCTATAATTTTGCAAAGGGTCCATTAGATTTTTACCTGAAAACAAAATTACCTACGGTAAGAACTGTGTTTCAATGCAGACTTTGATAATATTCCCCTAATATGGTGATCCTCGGTCAGACTACAGCACAACCTCTATGAAAGGAGGAGTTGAAGGTATTAGATACAGGCTTGCTCCTTGATCCCCTATAGCGGGAAAGATTCCTGATAGATTAAGGTCTAGATTAACAACGACGTTAAGGAGGGCATGTCTATAGATACGCGTAGATTGCCCCAATCCAAAAAAAATCAGGGCGAAAATTTTTGGAGTAATTTCTATATTTAACCTGAATAGTATGCATGCTTTTTGTTGAAACCCCTTCCTCAAGATCAGAATTTAGACAGTTTATTTCATCTCAGAAATCAAATCTACTGACCCTCAACTACCGTAATCCCTATGTAAACCTATTAACTTTGATTTTGCGCCATACATCCGTGTGACAAGTCTGGGAAATTAGTTGAATGATTCGATGCTACGTCGCGTCGATGGTAATATGGGAATAGTATGCTTGATACCTGAATGAATAGCAGGCACTGCCTTATGTTTTTCTGCTGATCTCGACCGGTACCCACCCGATTCCACTTCTTTTTTTTGTAATTATTGTAACCAACTCCATTGCGAGACACTCATCCTCTCCAAGGGCCCTGAGTCCCGAGACTCAGGGCTGTACACCCACTTAGAAATCACGCTTGCACCTTGGCAACAGGGGAGAATGGAAACCAACAACGTCGATAAAAGCCTTACTTCTCATTACCATGGAGAGCTTCCGCTATACGACTCATATGCCATTCGACGCGAAACCTAAAGGCACGCCTTGACGAGGGAGGCTCAAGAGACGAGGAGGGGGATCATGTGGTGCAATGGTATCCTGCTCGAGCATGACACTCAAGTAGAAGCTCGACAGCCAGGCACTCATACTGCCCAAGAAGGGACTTTCTCTCGTCATTGCGCCCCGGCAAACTCGAGTGCGCAGAATAGCTCAGTGACCTTGTGCCCGTCGAGAAGATTGAACCAACCTCTCCATCCCTCTCGATTAGTCGCGGCCGGATCAGCGCCTAGGCTCTCTCATCCCCAATACCTTGTGATCAGACAATGCCGAGTCTCAGCTCGTCGTGGCCCTAGTCGGCTCTCGACTTTCCGTGTCAGGTTTGTATCATGTGATGTCGTGATTTCACTCACAGCTAGCCCCACCCACCAGTGCGGAGGACGAAGGCTGAACATCTGTCAGTGGTGTCCTTTACGAACCTGGGAGTGTAATATTCTCCCAGAGCCGAGATTCAGTCACGACAAAGGGTGAATTTGAGAGTTTTCGTCGAGTTGGCGATCGGGAGGAGTGGTGTTGGCTCTTTTTTGGTCGAAAATCCGACTTGCAGAGATTTCACGACTGCACAACTCAACGAAATCAACCATCTACACCCCAGATACGAACCGCAGACAATCTATAACCTGTCTGATCTTCGTATTACAACAAACGACACCTTCAAGATCTTATTTTCTGTTTCTCTGGAAAATCATTCCCAGCCAAACTCATCTTGCGGCCCTCTCCACAATCATCTTATCACCTACCTAGAAAATCCCATGCCTCCAAAAGCAAAATCGCCATAAAAGAAGCAAGAGGATGTCCGACCCTCCGCAACTGCCAGTCGCTGTGAAGGTATAGTCGAAATACCGGCCTTAAATGCGTCCTCACCTCGGCCAAGGGCACCAAAAACTCGACCTGCGACTAATTGCCACCGACGAAATACGTACAATATTTCGCCGGCACACCAACTAGAGCATTCGACAAAGGCTGGGGCACTGGTGCCTCGGTCTTGAACTCTCAGTTGCGTTTTCGACCTCCACGGTTAGGGGCAAGGCCGGAGGGGTGGACATTCTACAAAGTTTCTGTGATGACGAGATCGGCTAATAGATAGAGGGATGCTACACGAAGGAATAAAAGAGTATAAAAACTGAGTAGGCTTTGGTGGGCGACTGGATGAGGCCTCCAGTGAAGAAAACGACCCCTGGATGAGACGAGGAGATGCTTAGATGAGCCAAAGCTGGGAATAAATAGAAGATAAAAGTTTCAGATCGCCAAGGAATTAAGGGCTCGGGCGCGTGGCGGCCGAGGCTGAGGAGTATTTTGTGCTTCGGCGCGTCAAAAGGGGGTTCTCTGGACGGTTGGGCTTGACATGATTCAACACATGGGTGAAGTCTGAGGTGGTCCGGTCATTCAGGTAGGACGAGGTTCAGTCAGACCCCTGTTAAGACGATATTGCAGTTTATACGATATATTTTCCGGAACGGACTTCGTTCCCATAAATTTACCGATTACACGATTATCGTTCTTTAACCTCTGAATATCGTCTTAACCAGGGTTTTTTGTTAGATTGGTGCTAATAATGCCGCCAAAAAAGGGAATTTCTGTAGAGCAACGACGTTCTCTGCGACGATGGGCGCACCGCCAGGTCCCAAAACCAACACAAAAACAGTGCATTGAGTGGTTCTTCGCTGAGTACGGCCATCGATTAAGCCAGTCCACAGTCTCCGAGTCCTTGAGCAAGACATTTGCGAAACTCGACGAAGCTATAAGTACTACTGCGCTACGACAGCGAGCTGGAAACTGGCCTGACCTTGAGTGTATTAGAGCGATTAAAGACGGCAATTGGGAGTATAAAAGAGGCATCAAAAGTACAAAGTAGCCTAGATAGCTGGATTAGGTAATCTTATCCTTTTAAACGATATCCTCTATATGACGATATTTTTCACGGTCCCGATTACATCGTCTTAACAGGGGTCTGACTGTAGATGTACTTAATGGTAGTTTACCTGACCCGGCCCAGCCCCACCCGTGCTTAAGCTCCAGGAGGAGTGCAACGGTAGTCACTTTACCGAGCACGTTAATGAACAAACCAACCCGCCCACCAGCGCTGCACCTCGTGCGATGACGAGGTCAGAGCCTGCGGACGAAGATGGAAGGAATGCCGGATCGTGGAGACTTTGGAGGCGGTCGAAGTAGAGGACTGAAGATGGGAACGGTACCGGCTGGAAGTCTGGCCGCGACAGCTAGACCTCCAAAGTTCTCACCACCATTTCCTCTCTGTCTGCGAAAATATAGTTCAAAGCTATTAGGATTAAATAAACCATACAGAGTTAGTTTCTTCATATAGATCCTAGAAGTCCTCCATAGTCATAGACTCAGATAGGACTATAGTAAAATCTAATCTTACCACCACCTTCTGAGGCGCTGAGTAGCGGCTGGTCTCTGGAGACTGCGCTACGTGACTGAAAACGACTTCGTGTCGTGGAATCGAAGCGGCTGACGCGCTCGCCAAGCTCGCTGGTGCGGCTCCAGCTCCACACTTGGCACTCTCCACTGCGGGGGCAAGGTGGGTTGTCAAGGCCCAGAACGAGGTCTCCGTCGCACTCTCATGGGCGGAAAACTTGATGTCTGGATGGAGGATGAAGTGTTGGACCAAATACCAGTATCTCCATTGCGCTCGCTCGTCTAGGCCGACGCACACTCGCCTTTCTCCTTGCGGCACGGTCTGGACCTGGCGATTTCGCAGACTACCATTGACGGTCTCCGCACGAAAACGTCATACTAACCTGCTCATGCGGAAAAAGGTCCCCTTTCCCGTAGCCTTTTTCTGCCACGGCCATTACCATGCACTGGCCTTTGCTAGCCACCAAATATACGCCTACGCCGATATCTACACCTGATAGAGGAAGCAAAGCGTGGTGCACAAATATGAGAGACAGTGATCTGGAACGACGTGAGAAAGTCAGGCAAAGCTTACAAATTGATGCAAGTGGTGGGCACAATATTGAAAGGGGTGACATCGATTTTTGGACAGGAATAATTCAAATTGAGCATTGTACGCTACATGACTTCGATTACGAGTGAACAGGCGAAAGTGTAAGCGCCGCCGCGGTCAGATAATAAGGTGGTACATAATAGAATAAAATGGAATTTTATTTGAGTCCCTACAGTGTCTATGACTATGAAAGACAGCTAAAACTATCTAAATAACTTTAAAGTTAATAGTAAATTTGTATATTGTTGTGCTTAATTTTTGCCAATAGATGTGCTACATAATCTTAGCCGGTCTTCCAGGTAGAGTCTGGCTAGTTTGGTCACAAATCCAAATTGAGACAGGAGATCGCTGGTTCGAATCTAGCGATGTTCCTCCACATTTGTCGCGGTGCGCGTATTTACTGATGCACGCATGCTTGGATGAAAAAAGGGGTTTATTGTCCTTTAGTGGGTACTCACGGAAGTGGGTCGACTGTTTGTGTAAACGAACAGGCCGCAGAGTGGTATGTGCAAGTGGAGGCAGGAGCATGAGTGTTTATAGTCAAAAGAGTTACCCTACACGTAAACAAGGCACTGAACATTTACTGGAGCTAGGTAGCTGCACACACATACATGATCCAAAAAATTGTTGCGATGACAAACCTTGGCAGGAAATAGAGTTCTAGCTTAAAGAAATTGTTAACGAACCTTGATTGGTTTAAAGAGCTTGCACCGGCACTTCATCTATCTTCAAGGCATTTTCTCATCACTCGAAATATGAGCTCTACCCCGTATGAAAGCATTCATTGCTTCTCATTACAAATCTATGGAAAGAGTGCATAAAATAATCTACTGTTGGTGCCCCAAAACTCTGTTGTGTAGCATGTCTATTCTTTCTAGTAGAGGATACTAAAGTAAGCTCTCAATGTTGCGATTTATGCCTTTCTGGGAACGTTTCAATTAACATCATTCCGTTACCCCTAAACATGCAGTGGCTAGTATCTTGTCGATATTGGTGATTTGCCACGAAGCATCTAGCTTGTTTTGAATTGATATGAAATTATTAAAATACATAATCAATACTAGTGAACTAAACTTCGTGGATTCGACATTAGTGAGTAAAATAGGGGTTATTTTTACACAAAAATAATAGAGGCTGGAAGTACCTTGAAACTTGTTGAGATCTTAGATCGTGTAGTCCATGGATCGTAAAGGAAAACGTTGAACATTTTGGGGTAAAAATTTTAGGCAGCAGTCAAAACTGTGATTTTTATTCTCGGATACCCCTGCACATGACCTCTTTTGCAGTATCCAAGCCTCAAATATTCTCACGACAATTTGATAAGATATGTTATATCCTAAATGACGTGAAGCTTTCCTGACTGCAGTATTAATTATCAATTATCAACTTCATGGAGCCGAAAACTCTGTTCACAATTAGACTTTACCAGCTGATCTGCGCTAGAAAGACCAGTTCGAACAATGGCATAAGATATTGAAATTGAGGATAAAATAGACTCATGTCTTTTGTTATTATCACGACTGTCGCATTATGTTGTATAAATAATTGATGTGAGGTTGAATTCCATAGAGTGTGTGCACTTTAAAGCTGAATTTCGGACTCATCAAGTGTGAGAAATCATCAAGAGTTGACAAGTTTCAGATTGCCAGGCTGCAGCTCGATGGACATCTTAAATTTTTACCGGAAAAACTTTAATGATATGAAAATGAAAGTACTTGTCGCTAAGCTTCGTATATTTTTCCGCAGCCAAAATTGAATCAAGTACAACAAGGGCTCACGGTTCATTGAAAATCGACCATTTTCACTGCAGTTTGAGTGTAGCTAAGTGTGCTGACGTTTTTAGATAAAAAATGAATGGATCTTGTACAGGACTTCAGGGAGTGATCGAGTCATATAATTGGACGGTTTAATGTTGAAAATATACCGTGGTAATGAGAGTGATATATAGCTTAAAGCGTCGTGTATATCGTGAATGACCAGCTCCTGTCAAAATCAATCGACGAGTCCTTCATTATTTCTTCCCAAGGTGCTTGGACTCTCTGGAACATCGTCGTACTCGTCCATTAGATCCTCTAATTCAAATTCTTCTGCATCTTGCATTTGTCTGATCGCCTTTTCTCTATGTCTGCCTGATATGTGCTCTCTTGGGTCTTTGGGGTCAACTGAGACTGAGTTCACCGCATAGAGATGGATGAGTATATTTGTGAGTAGAAATAGAAGAAAAGCACAGCTGTAGAGACCAAGCACATACGATACGTGCGTAATTCCGGCGTCCGAAATGATTTGCATTTGCTCCTCTGTAGCACCCATAAACAGAAACCCAGAGGCGAAGAGAAACTAGGAGATATTAGATAAATTCATATCTTAATTTTTCAAACTTACGAAGGGAGAGATATATTGAAAACTGTTGGCATCACCGTCATCTGAAATAGTGTTCTGGTCACGAAGAACAAAGGAGACTTCAATGACTCTAGTTAAACCTGCAGCCATCAGAGTGTAGCCAAAGACCGTGTGAATCATTGTGCTTATTGGTAAGTGTTGAGGATGTGCCGACATTGCCCAGCCTGTAAGAAAGATAACAAAGCCAGGAATGAAATTTCTTTTTGGAGATCCGTCCCTCTTTCTACTGAGCCAGATTCCAGCAAGCCCAGCACACCACCATATAACACCCATTGTTGTGTGCTGAATATCGTTACCTACCCACGGGCCTCCCCATCGGTGCTCAGTAAAAGTGTTTACACAACCCCAGGCCGCGATCATTGATGAGTCAAAAAATTCTGGAGATCTTCCCATCCTCTGTAGCCAATATTGTCCGACGAGCATTATCATGATCATGATCATCCCGTAGCCGATAAATGCACTTCCCATAATAAAATGTGCAAGACATTGTCCCAAGTGATCTTCTCGGCAAAACCCCAGCGATGTAATGGCACCGAAAATTATCTGCACCCAGGACACTACTGGCATTGCTTTTCCGATAATTCCATGCCCTACCGTGACTATTTTTCTCAAAGTTCCATGAAATCCAGTGGAGATGTGAAGTCGGAGATAGATACCAAATATAATCTGAGTTGCAAGCATCAGCATTAGCCAGTTGGAAAATGAGGCATGAATATTTTCAGAAAACATTCTTCCTTTGTGTAGATGGCCTAAGACGAATGCCGATACTGCTGTAATCGTCCCAAGTATCTGGACGGGGACATGCCATCTATTTCGAGTCATCTGCAGAAGCTTGTCAGATGTGTTTTCTAAATAAAGAGAAAACTAACGCCTAGGACCATTCCGGTTGGAAATATTATTCCAAAAGATAGCATCATGAGGAGAATATGTACCCATAGTGTTGAATCCTATAGTTATAAGCCAATTTAAGATATTTTGGATTTTTTTACACCACATACAATTGGGTCGTTTGTCATTAATTCTCCAGCAACCACTTTCGTCATGTGATGTCCATGTGAAAATACAGGTCGAGCATTGAGAATCAAGGCTATTGTAAGCGCTAAAGTTTTCATGTTAGAGAGTTTGAATAATGGAGAATTTTGAGTCGATCAATTTCCAAGTAGGATAGTTGTAAAGATGGAAGTTTAGGCACATAAACTGAACATTAGTGAATTCTGTATATTTGAGTATTTTAAATGAGTGTTGACCAGTTGGTTGCTTAGTTTTCTTCGGAGCTCAGTTGAGTTGCGTCTTAGTGTGTTAATGATGGGGCTGTGGTGGAGCAAGTTAACTCAGGACAGTACAGGGAACCATCACATGATCAGATTAGCTCAAGCAGAACATGTTAGAGTCCTTTATCAGGCAGTAATAAGCGACTCGTCATCGTATCAGTTCAGTTTCGTATCTATTAATGCTGACTTACTGTTGGCCTAGCAGGAAAACCAGGCTATTACTAATATCATTTGTTCTTTTAAGCCAATGTGTGATTCATGACTTTGTTCGCTCGGGCTCAAACAGTCTGATCTCAAGTAACTCATGCAAATATCGAGGCAATGTCGAAGAGCACGCTTGCAAGGGTAGATAATACGAGTTTTGGCCAGGCAAGAAATTTGACCTTGATTATCCTTGTCGGAACTGAGCTTAATTGATACGCTTGTATTCTTCGAATCAGTTGCAGTTGCAGTTATGATTTCAGTCGGCATCCTCTCTGAATTTTGATGCGATAGATATTTGTTACTTGAATTCCTCTATGATATAGTGATGCTTGTAATTCAGAGGAAGTAGTCAATGTAGAGCTCATTAAAATGACAAGTCAAAAAATTTCCACGTTGATTGATTACAACCCTAATTCAAACCTATTAACGCCCAGAGCCAAAAATAATTACACCACATGTAAGTTCAAATATAACCATGCCTCAATAAAGTAACTCGAGTGCAATCCTTTATATCCCAGTTCACATTTTTTGCGTAGAGGTATTAGGGAGGATTGAAAAGGATGAGAACCAATAAGATCAGTCCAACTATTGAGCGCTAGAGCGAACATAACGACCGACAACAATACAATGATCTCGTTCAAAGGGTTCTGAATTGACATTAGTAATCTAAGATAGGAATCTATTAGTGCAAGACATACCAAGAGTAAGCTGTTCTAAAGGTTTTATTCTCTCCTCCCTCAATTTCTGAACCTCCCGTGCAAAAACAGCCTCTGGTGCTGCAGTACTATCGATACAGTTGGCTTTAATAGAGACTACAATACCACCTCCAACTTTTAGAAATAAGTGAGCGTTCAAGCCAACAATACGAGCTTGGTCGGGTTGAGCTACATCTGCGAATATAACGTCAACCATCGAGACCAACATTCTATATCTGAGCGGATGACGTGCGTCTTCGATAATTGGAATAACATTCGTTCGATGGGTAGCCATGTTGATTAAGTCTCGGCCAGAGCGGTGGGAAAACTCAACGGCAAAAACGGTTCCTGTGGTTCCAACAATATCCGCTACATGGGATACAGAGGTACCGGAGGCAGAACCAAGATATAGAACTTTGGCACCAGGTTTAATAAATATTTCGTCAAGGCCGCCAAGAACACCTGCTGCAAGCTTACTGCGAAATGGATTCCAAACGCGATATTCTGTTTTGGTTGTTGAAGGGGTACCATCTTCGTTGGTAGGGCCACTGTTTTCGACACTTATACGTTTTTCTCCATAGACTGACTCGCCAGGAGAGAGGTTCTTAGTGACCAACATATCTTCTTTACCACGCGCGACGAAGATACCTGGGTGGCGATGAGGTTCCTGGAGAATTAGTAAAATGTTAGGTCTTTCATTTTGGCGCATCATACCACAATTGTTTTTGCACCTCCTCTTGCACCACCACCGCCGCGTCCTCTTGCACCACCGCCACCGCGTCCTCGTGGTGCGCCTCTGCCACGACTACCGCCTCTGCTATCACCGCGACCTCCCCCTTTCTCTCAGGTCAGTTTCTTTCAAGTATTTATCGCCTTCAGAATATTACGAAAGGAAAATAAAAAATCTCGAGACTACTGCTGTCGATAGACTCGAACTAATGTGAAATATTAGACTGACCTCTTCCCCTCGAGGACCCTCCTCGTCCACCTCTATCACCTCCGCCTCTAGAAAATCCACCTCTACCTCCACGGTCGCCTCCTCCACGTCCTCCTCTTGGAGTAAATGCCATTTTCGCTTCAAACTTTGCGGATGGTTGAAAATAGTGTGTTGACAAGTTACAGTTACTTATGCAATCAATTTTTTTCCGTAACTCGGCTCACACAAGCCAAAGCCAATTAAACATTAGCGCATTTGTGTAGATCACGTGAGCATGGACTCAAGCTGGACTGTGACGAAACTGGTAAAGTGGAACAGATGCCCACTAGTGCGGTCTAGGGATAGTGCATGCACGATACATCCCTTCCTCCCTCGCCTTGACCTCTCAGTCCAACCATGGCAAGAATGCGCCAAATTCACCGACTATGTAATAAGCTTCAACATTGGATGATAGAGAATAAGGACACACGATTCCAAAATATTCTCGACAAATGGCTGGAAACACTAAATTGCTACCCAGTTAGATAAGTTTATCCTAAAATGAGCGTTCAACTTCATGTAGGACTGTTTATCAGTCAGTGTAAATTTAATGGACCTATCGTCTATATCAGTGTCATTAAGTTGACTGATAAACTTTGCTCTGTTTTAGGGCCCAACTGTAGACTTCTTAGATTAGACGACCTAAGTAGTAAGACAGAAAACAACTCAAGACCTTCAAGAACCTAGCATGAAAAAATCAACATCTGGCCGTGGTGAGAAAATGTGAAACTTTTACCATGTAATCCGCAAAATTCGCCAAGAATTTCTTTCTGCAACACTTCTCCAAACCGCTAGAATTCGGAAAGAAGCACTGAATCAGCTACATTGTAGATTGTTTGAAATGGAGACACGGAGTGTTGTGGACGTACGGGCCCTCCATTTCGTCTAGGTTCCCGACACTATCTCGTGTGTATTTAAGAGGTTGGAATAGGTAATATGGTAGCGCTTCAGGCTACCTGTTAGAGACATGAGCGGCTGTATGGCGTGGGCACAAGGAGGTAATTGGGGGTTTTTCTATGCCTAGATGGCGTCACATTCGTTTATGCTGTGGCTTAGGCTACGTGTTGTTTACAGTTGTACTAGTAGCACACCTTTCTCACACTTCTAGCTTTAATCCGAACATGACACTCTTTAAGTCAACTTCTACTTTCGTTCCACGAATGTTGCGCCCATTTCATTGCGCGATATTTTCAACATAGATGGCTCTCTCTGTACTTTTTTTTACATCAAAAAATATAACATTGAGGTTAGATGAAAAATATAACTCAATTAGAAGACCTTCCACTACAATTTTCATCGCCAAGCAACAAAAATTTACAGAAGACTGAATCTTGAGACCTACCAACGATGTCAACTATGGGCTTGGGGGCTGGCCGTTTTACTAGAGCTATATTCATTCACATTAAGCAATATCGAAAACTTTTACTGGATGTGGCAATGGTTCAAGGCTACAAGCTAAATCAAATTAACACCCTTGACAAGATCGATTCCGACTGTAGTATTCTCAAATTTATAAGCACTGCCTACCACTTTGGAAGGAGAAGTCTCTGACAAAATTTCGCGCGAAGACTAGTAAATAGATGATGGAGGCATGTCTGGATAACTCAGGGTTTATGAGATGTTTCCCTTGATGGATATTCACCGAAGACGTTAGACTTGGGATGAGGAGAAAGCCACCATTACTCCGCGGTGCTACTTCCGGATGAAATGCTAGGCACATGTGTCTTGTTCTAAGATTGAGTCATCTATTCTGTACTTTGTCTCTGATAACATATCATAGCTAGCTAGCTGCATATGCAATTAAAATCCGACGCAAAAAAAGCACTGCCTAGTACATAATTATTTCAATGAATACACCTCTCACTAAGTCAGTTCCTGCTCTCAAATAGCCTCCAAATTCGCCTCCGCCAGAATAAGAGTTCCCGGCAGAGGGAAAGAATCGTAATGCACAAACCCTGGAGAAAGTTCTCTGGAATGGAAGTGATAAAAGTCAGGACCGGTTTACAAGATGAAGCCATGGATGGATTGAATCTTGAAAGGCATAAGATTTCAAATTTTGTCCAGAATCCTTACAAACTGAAGAACCATCTCGGCACAAAAGAAGTTGGGCTAAGCTACCATACAGCAATCACCCCCTGTCAGGACTTTTCTTACACCTCAGCACGACCTTCGGGAAAGAGTTGGAGGGAGACTAGAAATGCAGAGGGTGAATTTCCTAAAGAACCTAGAAGTCTGGAGCGCCCAGCTGGTCGGACTCTTTAAACTCTTCAGAAGGGCCACTAATTCTTCGGATTTAGTCCTGATGTCGGTATCAGAAGAGCCCCGCACCTAGTGGTTTTTGCGATTTTCCCGGCTGCCATACAGCGGCACATGGCCATCGTCTCGTTGGGTGGAGAGGGGAGATAATGAAGAGAAAAGGGCTCCTCTAAGTGTATGATTGAATGAGGACTTGTGATGGGCGGTACTGTTTGAGGGGAGCTATATGGGAGGCAAAGGAGGGGATATACTACTGGCATAGGTATCCTTGACCTGTATGCAGATAGGACCTGCAAGTCCTATATAGTCTTATACTGAGACTGGAAAATAAAATAAATTGATACTAAAAAGACTCGTAATTTTTCTTTACATTTGTTTGTACTTTTTAGAGACATAACAACTAGAAATGTATCCACTGAACCACTTATCCAATGAAACCTGAATCATCAGGATATTTCTTGCCTAGTCGGTCTTACTTGATTCAAATTCATTAAATGAGAAACTTATTATTATTATTATTATTATTATTATTATTTTGTTGTTCTTTCTGAGTCTATGGCTATGCAGGATATGTAGGTCCTCTCTGACTACAGGTCAAGGATACCTATGCCAGTAGTATATCCCCTCCTTTGCCTCCCATATAGCTCCCCTCAAACAGTACCGCCCATCACAAGTCCTCATTCAATCATACACTTAGAGGAGCCCTTTTCTCTTCATTATCTCCCCTCTCCACCCAACGAGACGATGGCCATGTGCCGCTGTATGGCAGCCGGGAAAATCGCAAAAACCACTAGGTGCGGGGCTCTTCTGATACCGACATCAGGACTAAATCCGAAGAATTAGTGGCCCTTCTGAAGAGTTTAAAGAGTCCGACCAGCTGGGCGCTCCAGACTTCTAGGTTCTTTAGGAAATTCACCCTCTGCATTTCTAGTCTCCCTCCAACTCTTTCCCGAAGGTCGTGCTGAGGTGTAAGAAAAGTCCTGACAGGGGGTGATTGCTGTATGGTAGCTTAGCCCAACTTCTTTTGTACCGTCCAAGGCGCTGGGGAGTGCCATTGACTCATCGACAAGAAAACTTCTGGCTAATAAGCCGAAATATCGGATTTGACGCCCACAAACGTTCCAATGTCGAAAACATGTTGAAAATATCAGACCTATTATTTTCACAGGACATCTCTTCCTTGTATTTACACGCCCCAGTCGCCTGTCCTTCCTGTGGATGTACAAATCCATTAGGGTAACAGACCCCCATAAATCATGACCTGAGCTTTGTAGATTATGACTTAATTTCCCCTTGCGGGTATACGTAGCGTCGTAAATTAGTAGTGAGTGATGACCGGTAATTAATGAGACAAGCTTCTGTTTACAATTGGAGTAACTCCTTTATCGGTCTTTGGGGCGAGATGGGGTGTGAGGAGAGGCTAAGGCAGAGGAATCAAATGAGGATAGTAAGGAAGGCATTGTCGAGAAGTCGTCAAATTAAGATATGCATGTGTTCATTTTCATTTTCGACTTCGATTCCGATGCAATTCTTCTTGGCTATCCCAGATGTGCAAAGCATGCCGAGCGTCTACACCTGCACCACTAGAAGGTGAAGAATTCGTCTTTGCTAGTGAATGAGGACATTAAGCCCATGTCTATCGCATTAGAATTAAAGATTCTTAATTCATTAGTGTGAGACTTGCGCAACAACAGTTTTACTAGGTCTCCAACATGGTGTCCGTTCATTATCCTCCAGTGGATACTAAGCTTTGCGCTGACTAATATTAATATCAAATATTTGATCACATGAGCACACCATTCCATGTGTATGCTTGCTTCTAGTTCTCTCTCCAAATTAGTTTTCTCTATCCGACTCAATTCAAACGCAACGTTGAGGATTCTATTGTGACTAATAGTATCAGCAATAAAGTACACACTGTCTGTTCCTCAAGTGAAAAATTACAAGGAATTTCTTACATGTCTCGCCAGTACTACTTGGACCCCTTTTTCGAGCTGACACGCCGATAATCCTTGGTTCAGATGTCGACTCCGCCTCTTAAAAATTCAACACCGAAGAATCTAAAAAGCTCCAGTCCGCCTCAGAATCTGAATATGGGCATCTCAAATGTTCAGGCTGATCTCTCAGACGGTACTATCATGGTGCTTGCTCCGACTGGCGAACCAGTGAAAGCAAAAGTTACGGTGCACTTCAATGCCATCGGTTCAGCACCGCTACTGCGGCAAAATTTATGCAAGATCAGCAGCACACAGCGATTTGAAGCAATCGTCGCATACCTTCGCCGAACGCTCAAGGTGGCTCCTTCTGAAAGTGTCTTTCTTTACGTTAACAACAGCTTCGCCCCAGCTCTTGACGAAGTGGTGGGAAACTTACATCGCTGCTTCAAGGATTCCAAGGACCAGCTAGCTGTCACATATTCCATGACACCTGCTTTTGGATAGAGATTGTAAATATTGCACTCGTTTGTTTTGAAGCTGCCCATTAAGTTCATAGACTACCATTATATTTTAATAATTAAAAATTATATCTTGCACAAAAGTTCGATAATGGAACAGTTTGCTACTATTCTATATGATAGCCTTATGGGCTCAAGGATTCATAAACAATAGTAGCATACCCGAATAGAATCTCACTATTACATCAAGAAAACTATAATTGAACAATATAATTAAAGCGCCATGCAATGTACTGTATATACAACATGTGTTTCTTGCCAGCAGGTCTGCAAAATGGCTCTTCATTGTAATACTTGTTTAATATACAATTGTACACATGATTCATCCCATTATACTGTCTTCAATTTAATTTTATGAATTATAAGATTAAGTATTCATTGGATTTGGGTTGGACAGTGCAGTGGTACACCATCCGGGCCGTTCTCCCAAGGAGATACTGGGTGGCTTGAACACCTACCCCATTCGAGACAGGAGGTAGCCGGTTCGAATCCAGTAAGACCCACATACCACACTCTCTCGCGGTGATGTAGTACTTGTGGGATGATGAAAGCACACTCGGATAGCCACAGGGTTTTCACGCTTTTCCCCGTGGTGGGTATGCACGGAAGAGATTATACGCCGTAAGGGTTAACCTCGAGTGGTATCTGCAAATGAAATTTGAGTGGGTGTTCTAAACGTCAAATTGAGTCGCCATGCTTAAAGTACATATCTTCCGATAAAAACCTGCATGGGCCTCAGGCGCCAAATCAGGTAAAAAGAACTATATATATTCTTTGGATTAAGATTATCCTCATGCCTAAATAAACTATTGAGGATAGAATGGCTCGGACCTATTTTCTTACATGATATCTTGCGTATGCAGCTATCCAGCTTCGACATAATACCAGATAAAAAGCAAACAATAGATGCCTCAATATACAAGAGAAGAGCACTTTTGCCTCGGACTTCATTTGGAAGTACCACTGCGAAGTTATGGTAGCTCTTTCTTCACCACAAGTCAACCCTCATCCGTGAATACCCACCCAATGGAACGTCTCAAAAACCTGAGTTATCCAGTTACTGGCCTTCACAAGCCGGAAAGATGTTAGGTAGAGTTGTAGATAATGTGACCGACTGTCGTAAAGAGTATTCAATTAATTACTTAGAATCTCTTAAGAAAAATGCGTGTGACACGGTATTACGTTGTAAATGCTGACTAGAAAGCCCTGGTTTTTTTCTTTTTGTTATATTAAAGTCCTAAGCAGTTACGCCCACAGGGCTCCAAACATGCAATGAGCAAGGCAGTGTAGGTGCTTGAACATGAAACACCTACACGTGACATGAATGCCAATCTAGTCTTGGCATTACTCAGCAAACACCCACACCTCATGTATATAGAGCTCGCTGTAGTTACTCCTATTTCTCCTTCCATAGCCAATCTATCTTACATTCCTAAGGCTGCCTCTCTACCATTTTCATACGTCGTGATTTAAGCTAAAGCTCTAGGTCCACTATCGGTACAAGACTGGTGGAGCCGGTGGGGATCACTGCTTACAGGCCCAACTCATTCCAACCGCGAGACCCGCTACAGAAGAAGTAGCAGGTAAATTATAACTCAGAAACTGTAATCAAAAACTAAAATCAAAACTAAATGCCAAAGACTGAAATCAAATTTAGAAGATTTTTTCATATGGTCGCATCCCGCGCTTCTCGCCCGTTCCCTCTCCTGTCACATCTTCCAAATGACAAATTTACTCAATCTCCGCTGAGAGCAAGAGATGGGTTAGCAGGCACCTTTTATCCAGCCGGTATCCTGCTATTGGTTAGTGTTGGAAATATCGCGCAATGTAATGGGCGCAATATTCATGGAACGAAAGTAGAAGTTGACTTAAAGAGTGTCATGTTCGGATTATAGCTAAAAGTGTGGGAGATGTGCGCTACAAATACAAGTGTAAGCGACACAGAGCCTAAGCCACAGCATAAACGAATGTGACGCCATCTAGGCATAGAAAAACCCCCAATTACCTCCTTGTGCCCACGCCATACAGCCGCTCATGTCTCTAACAGGTAGCCTGAAGCGCTACCATACTACCATACTACCTATTCCAACCTCTTAAATACACACGAGATAGTGTCGGGAACCTAGACGAAATGGAGGGCCCATACGTCCACAACACTCCGTGTCTCCATTTCCAACAGTTAGTGTATACCCCAAAAGGGACATCGTCGAGGTTGCTGTGTCCTCAAACTTCTTCTTCAAATTCCAGAACTCCGAAACCTGTCGCCTCGGCCATGGAGACGTCCTTCGCAGCGGCGATGATCGCCTCTTCGGCCTTTTTTGCTGTTGCTCGTGCTCGTGCCACCTTTGAGAACTCTCATTGCTCTATGTGGCGGATCCACGCGAGCTGCTCTTTGGTCACCGGCCCGGATTTTCTGGATCTGACTTGGCAGGCCCGAGAATCCGATCGGTGGGGTCCCCCATAGTCGCGACACTTAGTGAGGGCCTTGCACTCAGAATCCGAGTGCATGTTTGATCCAAAGTTCCAGCATGCTGGAGCGCGGGAGCAACCACGGGTGGCATGGAAGCCCAAACAGCGTTTGCACTGTTCAATTTGGCGACGAGGCTGGGTTTTTGTAGCCGCTCCGGACTCGTCGAGAATTCGGAAGCCCGCACGAGGGGCGGAGTCCCAGTTGAAAAGGGCATGCCAGTTTCTGTATGGCGCTCCAGGACGACATGTCCCGTGCGGTCGCACCTGGCATGGACGACGTTGTGTTTTGCGATAGATCTCCAGTGAGATCCTACCGGCATCGACCGTCTCAATACGGTTGATTAATTTTATGGTCGCTGGAACATTCGCGATCCGAAAGGCGACAAGGTTGGAGGCATCCTCGATTTTGGCATTGAAGTCCGACAACTTCGGTGAGGCATCTAAGAGCTCTTCCCTTTCATTTTCATCCGCTGTCAGAATCGCAAATCCGGTTCTGACACGGTGTATAGAGCTTTTTTCACTCAAGGTGTACAGTAGCCTACTACATAATTGATGCCGTATGCCGTCAGGCGAAAGCTGGCGCCATGGGTGATCGCTCTCTAAGCGAAGGAACAGTCGTTTGTCGACTTTAGCCTTCGGAGCTTCTTTATTTTGGGCTTTTGCCGCAGGTCGCGGAACAGCCTTTACAGTTGGGACTGCTTTTTGTTGCAGTCCGTTTCTGGCCACCGTGGCCCAGGTGCTTTTTATAGGCAGCGCTGGGACGGCGGGAATCGTTGTGCTTCTGGCGTCGGGAGCCCTTGGGATCGGGTTCGCCGGGCGAGGAGGGAGGACGGGTGGCGTGATGGCCGAGCCCGTAGCCATGTATTGCGCGATGGCTGCGCGTTTGTAGACTCGAGGAGAGTCTACAAATTGTCTGTTTGACCCGTTGGTCAAAGGAATAAGGTGGCTTTGACGCCAGAGATGGCGGCGGAGCAGAGGGCCAGATTTGTCGCTGTTTCGGCGGCGCGACGTTGTTCAGCTTCGACAATTGGTCGGAGCTCGAGGGGACACTCTGCTTTCGTAGCAGCTTGTGGTTGCGACGTTGGTTTTGGCGCTGCTTTGGGTGCAGCGTTCTCCGACAGTTTTGGCGCGGTCGGGGGAGATTTTGACGATTCTCCAATCCCGTGGGGGACGGAGGATGGTTGAGGAATTTCCTCAATAATTTCGACTGACCCGATCATGTCAGTATCGGGCTCAGTGACGGTAGGGAGGGCTTTTTCCTTCCCTTTGGTAGAGACGTTGCTCATCTCCGCGCATTTCGGAGACTGGGCAAGGCCAGGTAATTGTTGGAGAGCCCTCGGGTGGACTCTCGTGTTGTCCAACTTGACGTTGGGGCGCTTTTTGCGAACTGGAGGCATGATGAAAATGCCTGAGCTCGATCACAATTCAGAGATGGATGCGACGAGGTCGAGAAGGGAGGAAAGAGGGAACAAATGAATTTTCGAATTTCTCGAATTGTGCGTTTTTTATTTTTATTTTTTATTTTTATTTTTTATTTTTGGTCCTAAGCTAACGCTATCTTTTTCAGATTGGGTCAAGGACCGGTGGAGCCGGCAAGGATCACTGCGTACAGGCCCAACTTATTCCTACCGCATGAACTTCTACTGAAATTGTAGAAGTTAACAGCAAAACTAAAATCAAAAACATAAATCAAAAACTGAAATCAAATTTGGAAGAAATACTGTTTGGTCCGGATCCCGCGCTTCTCGCCCTTTCCCTTTCCTGCCACATCTTCCACGTGACTTTTTCTTATCTCCGCTGAGAGCGAAAGATTAGTTCGCAGATACCCTGAATTCAGCTGCTATCCTGCTATATATATTGAAGCTTTTTGTAGACTTCACCGAGGGTTGCTGTACCCTCAAACTTCTTCTTCAGATCCCAGGATTCCCATACCCGATCTCTCGGCCATCCAGACATCCTTCGTTGAGGCCATTGTTGCCTCTTCGGCCCTTTTGGCTGCAGCCCTAAATCGAGCCACTTTCGCGAACTCCCCTTGCTGGATCTGGCGGATCCGCGCGAGCTGCTCTTTTGTCACCGGTCCGGACTTGCTGGGTCTGGCTAAGCAGGCCCGGGAATCCGATCGGTGAGGTCCCCCACAGTTTCGACACCGGGTGAGGGCCTTGCACTCTGATTCTGAGTGCATATTAGATCCGCAGTTCCAACAAGCTGGAGCGCGGTAACAGCCACGGGTGGCGTGAAATTCAAGACACCGTTTGCATTGTTCGATTTTGCGACGAGGTCGGAAGAGCTTTGCAGCTCCAGAGTCGTCGAAAAGGCGGAATCCAGGTCGAGGAGCGGATTCTCGGGGAAATAGCGCTTGCCAATTTGAGTAGGGCGCCCCTGGTTTGCTAGTCCCATGAGGACGAACCAGAAAGGGAACCAACTGGGTCACCCGCGTGACTTCGTCGGCAACCATCTTTGTCGTCACAGCGATTGGGCCAGCAAGAGTTCGAATTGTCTCCGGGACGGTGGCAATTT